AACTTCTCCATCAAACCTATCAATAAATGTATAGCTTCCATAGTAGACCTGTCCGACATAAATCCAAATTGATTATGAGAAATCTTTGTCATGCGTCTTAACCTATGTTCAATTACCCTCTCTCATAACTTTAAAGTATGACATATCAACTTAATTCCTCTATAATTTGCACACTCTTGTGCATCTCCTTTATTCTTAAAAATGGGGACCAAAATACCCTTCCCCCACTCGGACATCTTTTTAATCCATCCTACCGCTGAATTTAGGAAATTAAATTGTAAATTGTAAATCCATTAAATCCATCATGCTGCTGAATTTAGTAAATCTGGATTTTAGTCAAATAAAATTTGTGTCCAATTTGGGGCCATAAATCTGAAAAATTCATAAATCCATCGAACTCCTATATTTTGGCGTTTGGTTGAATTTGATAATACCCCCTAAATATTAGATATGTAAATACATAAGAATTATGTGGTATATATGTATGACAAATACATAAGAATTATTTGGTATGTATGTAAAAGCCTCAAGATTAAACTTACATCTTAAAAAAACACATATTTGCAAACTTACTGAGAGCAAAGTGCGTTGGCAATGGGCGAGCGAGTTTCCTCAGGTACGTCAAGTCATCATCAGACAATCTTTTCCATTCATAAGGAGGGCACAAGCGGAATGGAGTCTTAAATCCACGAACGATTTCTGGAAGCAAGTCGGCATCAACGGGCAACGGCTTTGGCCGCCACCAATCGATAAATCGAGGACCGAGTCCATCCAACAATCTATTCGACTCCCTCTCGTAAAGGGACGCATCGATCGACCCATTGGAGCTATCAAACTTTGATGAAGATAGCTCCACATAAGGATTGAGAGTTGGTAATGCTTTTGTGCACCTCTGATAGTCTTCTCCTTTATAGAGGACAATAACATCCTTCTTTCTCCACACAACTAAACCTCCTGTTTTAGCCTGTTTAGAAATACATTTAAGAGCTTATAGAAAACATTATAAAATAAGAGAAGCATTTTTTAGAAGGGGGCATTTACATACATAGCACACAATTCATATGTATTTAGATATCTCACACTTAAAACTTTCATATTTACACACATAGCACTAAAATCTTTAACATCATATCAAAAATAGCATTATTATTACGTTTATAACGTGAAATATACTTTTTCATGCATAGATTTAAAGCACCAAAGTGTTGTGTCCGTAAATATTTGATACCAATGTTAACCAGCAATAATGGGAAAAGCAAACATTATCACTGAAATCAAATAAGCAATTACGATAAAACAAAAAGGAAATATACAATTATAACAAACACCACACACAATACGCGACTAGGATGTATCTAAGGTGGTGGTTATAGCAGGGTGGCTGTAACGGGGAGGCGCAGATGAGAATGCTAGTTCAGGCAGGAAACAACAAGAGAGATTGGGAGGAGCGAGTGGGGCATTAGGAACATGAGCGAATATTACGTGTGGAATCCACACATGCAAATTAGTGGTATTTGATAGTATTATGGTGGTATACAACCAAATACCACTAAATCCGCGTCTATCTTGTCTACATGTAATATGTTTCTGAGGAACAGATAGGAACATCAACTCCTTGCTTTTCTGGATGGCAGTATAACTTTTTAGTCATACACCTATGCATTAAAAGGCGCATTGAACTTTCGTCGGTAGACCATAATATTTTTGATGTGATGTTAATAATTTGAGAGGTTTGCTTTCGTCGGTAGACTGTAAATATATATATAGGTGTTAGTTATGTAAATAAATAGGAATTGTATGCTATGCATGTAAATACCCCCCCTCTCACCACCCCCCAAAAAATAAAAATTTACATATGTGCCACACAATTCTTATGGATTTACATATCTAGCACTTAAAATTTAATATTCACATTGAAAACACCCTCGTGTTACAAAACCATGTATAAAAAAGTGCATTTGACAAAAAAGTTAGCATAGTATTTTTTTTTCTGTTTTTTAACGATTTGACTGTTATGAATGTCAATATTAGAGTTTAGGGGTTAGATATCTAAATACATAAGAATTGCTGTTTTTTAAAGATTTGACTGTTATGAATGTAAATATTAGAGTTTAGGTGTTAGATATCTAAATACATAAGAATTAGATCACAAGTATGTAAAACCCCCATATAATAAATTTGATCTTGGTGCAAAAAATCTCATTATGCATATTTCTAAGAAAATTTCAGCAAAAAAGAAACAAAAATGATTTTTCTTTCTACATACCTCAACAATTTCGTGGGCCCGGACCATATTCTGGCGCAGGGGATCGACAATCTTCACCATGGCGAGCTCCTTCTTCCTCCACGCCCTCCGTATCCCCTTAACCACCTCCGGCGTCACCCCAGCCTTCTTTCCTCTGACCCATTTCCTCATCTTCATCGCCTCCCCCCTCAGCCTCTCCAGCTCCACCGCCGGCAGAACCATCTCGGCCGCCGGCTGAATCCGCTTCTTCCTCAGCCTCCGAATCGCCAGCCTCTCCTCATTCCCCGTCGCCCACGGATACTTTCTGCTCCGATCATCGCCTGCTTCGGATGCAGAAATCGCATCCAGAACGTTCAGCGGAAGCGTGAAATCGGCCGACGCCTCTTGCCCTAGATCGTCCGGCTCGGGTAACGGAGGAAGGGTTTTCCGGAGGAGGGAGACGCTCTTGAGGATCTTCCGCATAGCTTCCCGGCTCCGGCCGCCGCGGATGCCGGAGGTGAGGAAGTGGTGAGAGGCGTTTCCTTCGTCTGCAGAGGGGTTCTTCTTTCTAGGTTTCGAGAGGTCGAGGATTTGGTCGGCGGGGAGGATGAGAGGGGATGTCATCCACGGTGCGGTGGGCATCCGTACGCCGGCGGCGGCGGAAGAGAAGATAGCGGGGAGAGGCATCGCCGCATTGGCGGAAGAGAGCAACGGAGCTTTCCAGTCACTGGATATTGTACTTTAATATTCCATCATTTTTAAAATAGCAATAATTGGAAACTGAAAAAGCTTTTGCCTTCCTAAAAGTAATGTTTAGTTTCACTTTCAATTTTGTGATTTTGCAATTAAAAAGGTTATTTAGGCAGTTGTTTGGGGTGTAATCGAGCAAACCTAACTCGTGACTGAGCTCGAGCTTGACTCAGAAATGACTCGTCGGATGAGCTCGGTGAGCTAATATGCCACTTGAGCCAACTCCAGATTGTTAACTTGCAAGCGGGTTCATTTACAAAATAATAATATAAGTGCACATAAAATACAATGAAATTCAGGAGTTCATGCAGTATTATAAAAATTTCAAATTATTAAGTGGTTCCTTATTATATATCTCACAATTGATAGGAATATGGAAAATAATTCACAACTTTACTATGGTCTAGGATCAATTAGAAACTAAACCACACCACTGAATAACATGATTGCACAAATTCGACATAAATTGGAACAAAATCTAAATATAAGCACAATCAAAACAAATAAGAAATGAACGGAATTTTACATGGAAATACACGAAAATAGGAGAGAACTACGAAGTCACACCACAAAAAAAAAAAAAAAATTCACTAAGAAATCAAAGAGTTTTACATATAAGTCACACACCATTTTTCTCTCTACACACAAGAAATTTTACATGACTCGCTCCACAACATTCCTTTTGCTGATCAACGCAAGAATCACGTCGAATTATCAAAATCCACCTTTTCAACTTTTCTCAACTTCAATAGGAGGAACACAAAGGAAGAATTCACGCAGAAGCACTTACGTCGCTTGAAATCAAGATTTAAATTGAAATCCTATATTAACTGCTCTCAGACTCAGGCGCCTGAGCGTCATGCACTCTAGAAGCAGGCATCCCAGCGCCTGTAGTGGGACATTCGGCACCAGACATTGGGCGCCAAAGAGCCCATAAAAGGGCGCAGAAGTGCCCCTAGCTCTGTGATCAGCGCCCAATGGGTGCTTCAGCTCCCATAGCCTGACGCCTTGGTATCGGGCGCTCTGTCTGAGAGGAAGTCAGCGCCATTGCGAGTGTTGGTGCGCCTGAATACCTATTTCTCGTGGGTGTTCCAATCAGGCTCCACAACATAACAACAAGTATTCGTTTTTTATAATTTTATCACAACACTTGTTTGAATCAAAATGGTCATGTCTTTTATAATAAATAAGATGGCTTGTGAATTGATTCAAACCAATAGAATTAACTTCTGGCTCGACCTCAAACTAGATTGATTAATCAAGCTCAAATTGAAGTTAGGTTTGACTTGAGCTTTGTTGTGTGATGGACGGTTTGCGACAATAGTGATAATTTAACATCACAATATTGCATGCAGATCCAACACACACAGAGATAAAAAAGAAGTAGCAGGAGGATATATCAGAATTTTTACGTGAAAAAATCCTAAACGGGAAAGAATCACATGTTCTGGTCCAATCAAAGTAATTCATTATAGGTTTACAAGCACATGAGTGTGCCTTTATCTCATAATAGAGAGAAATGCATTACAATCTTACACCCAAAATTACAGTTATCTTTATACAACAATTAAAATATAATTGTTTGACACAACAATTGTATTTTGACTATAATGATTGCAAGTAGTGGTCGTTGTCAACCACTTCGTAGACTGTGGTCGACGACCATCGATGGATAGTGGTTGATAGTTGTTGGTGGCTACGGAGGCTGACAGTTACTCGTGGGGGGGTCGTCTCTCTAAAACAGACTATGACATTCCACTTCTTCTTTTCTTCTTCTCCTTCTCTCCAAAGTTTCAAGGATTTGACGAGTAACTTCCCTAACCACATAATCAGTTAGTCCATGGTGATCCCCTTTGATCGTAGGTAGTTATTTAAGGATTTGAGTGTTTAAATGACATCTAAATTTAGTGATATTGAGCTCGTTGGATTCCTCTCATCGAGTCGTTCATTTTGCCTATAAATATGTCAAATTTAAAGACTATTTGACCATTCAATTGATGATTCAAAACCTCCGATTGTGCTTCAACGGCTTGGTCCGGGCTTTATTAGACCCAAATTGAATCAACTTTGATATCATTGGGTTCATCCTCTCGAGGCGATTAGTTTGAACATAAACTTTGTTAAAATCAGAGCCCAAATGATCATGAATTTGAATTTGAAATATTCTTTATAAAAAATGTATCGAGATTCGTTATTGAAAGATATTTATTGATGAAACATCAAGCTTTTTTCAACTTGTTTATACCCCTAATCTCTACTGTTTAATTAAATATAAATTTTATTGCTTATATTTCAAGACAAACTTAAATATTACATCTTTTAATCCAAGCCTCATCTCTAACATTATTTGACATTTCAAGTAGATGTAAACATTGCTGTCAAATGAAACATCATGAGCTGCTAATGCTGCAGTATGTTGTTACCCAATAAAAAATCATGCATAAGAAGCTTTTCAAGCCCCAACCTACACTGAAAATCTTTTATCAGTACATCACCAAACAATCTGCATTTTACACATCCAACCTTAGCCAAACAAAAGACACTAAAAGAGAGAAAAACATAACCAAATATCAATTACAGATAACTGTCCAGCTAATCCCTTTATTCATGTGCTTCTTTTTAAACAAACAACTACATGACATGTTACAAAAAAAAAATAAAGGGCATTTACATACATAACAGCCAATTCCTATGTATTTACATATCTAACCCATAACTTAAATTTTTTACATTTTTATCACATCAAAAATATCATTTTTTAAACTTTAAATAAAAATAAATACACCTTTATCATATATGTAAAAGTTGAAGTTCAGATATGTAAACACATAGGAGTTGTGTGGTACATATGTAAATCTTCAAAAAATAAATTAATTGCAAATAACTTGATACAAAAGAATAAACTTAACCACCTCTTGTTTGCTCATCAGGGCGACCACCTACACATCTTCTTCAATCTACCTCCTCTCTTGTTACAAGACACTGTTCTGCATCTCCAGTGACCAATTTTCTACTCCCATTAGCTCAATCTTCTGTATTAGTCCCACCTCAGAAAATATTCATTCTGATGAGTTTCAGCTGTTGATAATGGAATATGTAAAAATCACTGAATATATTTATTTAAAATAAAACTAAAAAAATTAATTATGGAATTAAAAAAAAAATGAGTTAACAACCTTGTGATGGAAAACTAATCACTTCCAACCTATCCCAGCAGTTGTAAGCCTCCAATACTGAGTCCTGCACTTTGGCCTGTAAAAACATATTTGCATTGGCAATGATTTTTAATTGCAACAAATCTTATAATAATCTTGGCCATCTACACACATACAACCAAATTCCTTCATGTTTACACCTAAATTTTGCCTTCTTTACAGTTATACCGCCAAATTCATGCATGGGTAAGACTGACTAATGCAGAGGAATTGAGTGATATGTATGTAAATCTTCCATCTCTTAAAGATATATTAAAAAATTGGGAAATTTGCATACGTAGCACACGATTCTTACGCATTCTTGTATCTCACACGGTCACACCTAAACTTTCATATTTAATAGACATCTCTTTGATCTTTTAAAATGTGATAATGGTGCTATGTTTGTTGTGATATTACGGATTTGACTGCTATGCGTGCAAATATGAATGTTTAGGCGTGGGATATGTAAATAAACAGCATACCCTCATTGAAATGCTGAGGCCTTGGAATGTCTGTAAGGCACCATCAACCGAAATGTTCAAAACTTCACAAATAGGATTCAAAACAATGGAGAAATGAGGGGCATGGTGTATGTAGAGCTTATCACCCAATGGGCAGGTTCTAGCATGATTGACGGTGGCCTTCCACTTTCCATCAGTCATTCTCAATATCTGCAATTTGTAGAATTTGATTGAACAAATATGCTAATATCTCTACTTTGATGTTGTTGATCGAATATCAATGTTACACGACAAAACACGAAGCGAGAAGTAGATAGATTTACGTGTAAAATACAAAACAGACAAAATTATGAGCAGATTAAGAGAATTCACTATACTAAAACAATAATCTCATTGGAGAGAAGAGGGTTATATAAGATAACATTGAAATCTTAATTTTGTATATTTAAACATGCATGTAGAAAAAAAAATTGAGTGTCGTATAAAACTAGTGCCCTGACTGTTTGAAGTAGATCATTTTAGTTTCAGAGTTTACAAATGTTTTAGATTAATAGTTCGAGACTCTTCTAATAGAAACTGAAATAGTCCTCCTTTAGAATTGTTTCAACCCATATTAAAAGCGTCAGAGGATTAAATTAACAGTCTTACATGCCCGGAGGCTAAAATGACCTATTGCAAAAATATTAAAATTCGAGTAGAGAAGCAAAATATTTCCGAATATTTACATGAAGTCATTTCAGTCATAGAGTTTATAAAAATATCAAAATAGTTTTATATTATTTTAAAATTAAACTCTAATAATCCTCCAGAGGACTATTTCAACCCCAAATTAAAAATTATGGGGACTATTTTTGTACTTCTAAAAACCCCGCTAGAGACGGCCCAAATCATTCACTACCACCACAAATCCATATATATATATATATATATACTCTGCCCCGATCC